AGTTAATTACAATTGTTGGAAAAGTCTGAGCTTGCCGTTGATAATATGACGATAAAAAAATTGGGCATTGTTGATAAAGAAAATGGTATGGAAATGTTACAACTTTCCACGTATGTTCTTTGTTGCGTCCGGTTCAAATGATCTGCTCGTGGAATTGTGCAGAGCACTAAACGCAGAGCAGTTACGTACATGTGGCAACAATGGTATAACGAGAGCGAAACTAAAATAGACCAAATGAAGTAACCTGGGCTTCTGAACTCGGCCTTGATTTTTAATACCACATATAATTGGTACAGTATATATAGAAAGTTTAATCACCCTGCTGACGGACTGGAATCTTAGGGCTCTCGAAGGAACAGAATGAATGCAGCCAACCTAACATCTGGCTCGCTATGACGAATTAACACGACGACTTAACTGAAAATTTAAATAATTATTTGAGTAATGAACCAATAAACCAAGCGACTGAGTCACTAATTATATCTTCATGTACATCAAGAGTGCACGAGATTAAAAGAAACCTCTGAAGCCCTGTGGTAACTATATATACCATTTGTTTTAACAATTAGTAACTCTTCATTTTACCCACAGAGAGTGCTTATGAATTTCGTGCGATTCTCAGTGCAAACAGCGATTATTTCCTTAAACAGCGTTAATCAGTTGGTCTTCGTAATGGAGAAGAGTTGTGTTTTCTTTGCGGTACGGACTGAATTCTTAAATAATATTTTTAAATGATCTTTGTAATGATGAAGTGTCGTGTTTTCTTTGCGGTACGGACTGAATTCTTAAATAATATTTTTAAATGATCTTTGTAACGGTGAAGTGTCGTGTTTTCTTTGCGGTACGGACTGAATTCTTAAATAATATTTTTAAATGATCTTTGTAACGGTGAAGTGTCGTGTTTTCTTTGCGGTACGGACTGAATTCCTGAATATCATTCAGACGAGCTTTGTGAGGATGCCTACCAGGCACATCCTGAGGTATTTAAGCTTTTCCTCAGTTCGTTGAGGCACGTGTGATGGCATTATGTGTCACTTTCTCTCGAAGCTCTCCTCTCACTTTTAACTACAATCCGTGCACGGAAGCTGCTTTTTCACACGACAGCCAAGGTTAAACCATCACAGGACACAGACTTTGAGGGGCTCAATCCGTCGCCACGTGACACGACAACGTTCTGTGAGCAGAGAAACTTTGAAATCGCGGTCGCATTCTACAAACCGGATACAAAAGTTGTTCATGTTTTTCCCCAGTCTCTCCAGGCGATTGTGTCTTGAATTAGGACGTGGCTACCGGAGCCCATCGTATGTTTGAGCCTGCACATGGATTTATCTCGCTGTGATGTTCAGTGACGTCGCTCTGCAGCCTCCATCCAAGGTTTTTGTCGAGTTTCCCACACTACATACCACGCGAAGGTGCCTGAACTGTGTTGTGTCTGTCCCTGGACGCCATGTCTGCATGACGCGATGAGGACGTAACGCTCCACACAATATTTGGCATTGCTTTAGTACACTATTAATCACACTGCTGTCCGCTCCCACTTTTTCTCTCTTTACACCCCGGGTGGGGAGGGGGGGATAAACTTTCTGTGTCCTTTGTGTCCCAGAGCCGGATCCAGTAGTTTCGCCACTGTTGGCACCACCGAATGTGATTGTTTCTGTTTTACGTAAATGAATCAATTTTGCACAAGAGTTCGTTGCGTTAACAATGGAAATATTATGTATTTAAAAGAATGGTTAATCTGTCCACATTGTTATAGTATCCAGCATTGCGAAACAAAATACGCGGAGTTGACCAACAGAGGTACCAACTTCTGAAATATGCCTCCAGGCGTAGACCAAAGAAGAAACAAATGAAGAAAGTGGGAAAGGAAGAATGAAAGAGAGACGTGAAGGAAAGGAAACAATAAAGAAAGAGAGATACTAATGGCGGAAGGAACAAAGGAATATTGAAAGAAAGAAACGATTTCTACGCAGATGGCTGTCTCCTGGGTAAAGAGGTCCTTGCTGCCTCCATCATCAGGGCGATGAGTAAATTCAGAAACTTTTTGCAAACTTCTACCGAACTACACGACCCTACAACCCAGAAGACAGCCATCTTCGTACTCACCACCACGAAAACCTAAAATCCTGCTTAATTTTTACCCAGCTAACTAACAAAGGACTGACTAGTAAACCAAGCAACTGGCTAATGAGCCAACGAACACAAGGATTTTGAAAATCCAGCCATCAGTGCAGCAAAGGAGAAACTGTTAAATGACGCGTATCGTCTGCGAAACACTGACAAGATTTTTTTTTCCAACGTTGGTGCATTAACCTCCCAACGTGTTTATGGCGAACCACGCCTTAGTTAATGGCTGCTGGAGTTACCAATTAAGATTATTTCAGCAAGAAATGTAGCCGCTTGTAGTTGTGATGTCAGTAGAGCAGAGTTTCTATAAAACACGCCACAGTCCCAATATATCATAATTTACGCACGAATAAATCACTTTCCTTTTACATCTTACACTTTTCCTTGCCATATTCATTCTTGTTCTCATACGATTCCTTTTTTGTCTTTCTATTCCCTTCTTCCTTAAACACCATTTCTATTGCAGACGTTTTAAAAATCCACGTTCTTTATATTTTCCTACCTGGAAGGGTAGACATGCTGTGGTGTGCCCGGAGTTTCGTCATTCCAAAAGCAATTGAGCCATGAATTTACCACTGTTTCATTTAAGGTTATGCCCTGATAATGGAGACAGCAAGTGTCTCTGAAACTTCTACCAGATTACACGGCGCAACATTCCAGAGGACAGCCATCTTAATACTCAATGTCTTGTCTTTCAGGTGACACGCCAGGCTTTTATATCAATGTGTGTATTCTATATTTATTGACGCATGTAATTTTAAATAACCTCCATGTTTAAACTGCTGCTGCCATCTGGTGTCTACTATATAAATTACGTCAGAAGCTGTGACGTTGGCCAGAAAGTTGTTTTAGTGGCAGAATAGCAACCCTGTGACCTGACGATACTTTGCTGTTTAAATAAGACTGCTTTATTTTCATCAAGAAGGAAAGAATAACAGAAAGCACAAGTGTGAGGTACTACTGATTATTTCAAGTACTCTGTACTAACATGTAACATGGTTTTTGTAATATCATTAAGATTTTTACATTCCTTTATTTTTAAATATTAAAAATATCAAAACTTTATTTTTTGTCCATGCATTTCCACATTTGTCCAAATCATTAGTATTATTCACATTTAGGTTTGCGTGTAAAATTAAGTCAGAGGTAATAGCAACTGTGCTGCCATCTTTTGCAGGAAACGCTTTCATCATCAAACATCTTTGGTTTATAGTTTATCTCTGCTCGAGACTTGTCTACATCCTTTGGGAACGTGGAAGTGATTGAGGTGTAGGCTAAGGAAAATGGTGAGAATTCTATTTGATAGTAATGCAGGTTTATCCGTAGAATCCTGATCTGTGGTACAATCTATACGTATAGTTTATTGGTAGAAGGTAATCTCGTGGCAGATGAGATTATTTTGAGGCGTAATTAACTTCTTTTGAGGTTAACATGCGATGTTTTATAATGCTTAAGTTACATAACCTTAACTGCTTTTAACGTTGCACGTGTCTTTTATACACATTAATAGTACTATTTGTGGGTGTTATAAAATGTTTTATCCCAGAGTTTTGGGGTGTTTGGTTACGAGGTTATTGTGTGTGTAGTTCACAAAATTTTATAAGTCCTCAGATGTAACACCTACATACATCATGCATCTTTGTTGTGTTCGTACTTAAAATAGTCTGTATTAATCCTAAATGTTTTGGCTTTCAGGGATCCTTGGGGCAAACAATTGAATGCCCCACTAATTTGCATGTTTTACTTGTTCCCATCACTGTTTTGTTTATGTATGTACATCCTTTTTTATCTTTTCCTAGTTATTGCTTTACATAGCGTGGAATTGTTTCTTTTGTTGCATGATCCCTGTTTCCTATTGGTTTCTTTTGTATCTTTTTGGTTTGCCAGACCTCATAAGCCCAAGTTGCATCAGGTAACTAATTCATAAATGTGTAGTCACTTTTGTACAATTTTTTCAGAACATTTTGCCAGCAATATAAGTGATTCCATCCACATATAATAATTATAATATTAATAATAAATGACGGACAAATAAGTGAAACAACCAGTTATGCTTTCCTTTTACATCTTACACTTTTCCTTGCCATATTCATTCTTGTTCTCATACGATTCCTTTTTTGTCTTTCTATTCCCTTCTTCCTTAAACACCATTTCTATTGCAGACGTTTTAAAAATCCACGTTCTTTATATTTTCCTACCTGGAAGGGTAGACATGCTGTGGTGTGCCCGGAGTTTCGTCATTCCAAAAGCAATTGAGCCATGAATTTACCACTGTTTCATTTAAGGTTATGCCCTGATAATGGAGACAGCAAGTGTCTCTGAAACTTCTACCAGATTACACGGCGCAACATTCCAGAGGACAGCCATCTTAATACTCAATGTCTTGTCTTTCAGGTGACACGCCAGGCTTTTATATCAATGTGTGTATTCTATATTTATTGACGCATGTAATTTTAAATAACCTCCATGTTTAAACTGCTGCTGCCATCTGGTGTCTACTATATAAATTACGTCAGAAGCTGTGACGTTGGCCAGAAAGTTGTTTTAGTGGCAGAATAGCAACCCTGTGACCTGACGATACTTTGCTGTTTAAATAAGACTGCTTTATTTTCATCAAGAAGGAAAGAATAACAGAAAGCACAAGTGTGAGGTACTACTGATTATTTCAAGTACTCTGTACTAACATGTAACATGGTTTTTGTAATATCATTAAGATTTTTACATTCCTTTATTTTTAAATATTAAAAATATCAAAACTTTATTTTTTGTCCATGCATTTCCACATTTGTCCAAATCATTAGTATTATTCACATTTAGGTTTGCGTGTAAAATTAAGTCAGAGGTAATAGCAACTGTGCTGCCATCTTTTGCAGGAAACGCTTTCATCATCAAACATCTTTGGTTTATAGTTTATCTCTGCTCGAGACTTGTCTACATCCTTTGGGAACGTGGAAGTGATTGAGGTGTAGGCTAAGGAAAATGGTGAGAATTCTATTTGATAGTAATGCAGGTTTATCCGTAGAATCCTGATCTGTGGTACAATCTATACGTATAGTTTATTGGTAGAAGGTAATCTCGTGGCAGATGAGATTATTTTGAGGCGTAATTAACTTCTTTTGAGGTTAACATGCGATGTTTTATAATGCTTAAGTTACATAACCTTAACTGCTTTTAACGTTGCACGTGTCTTTTATACACATTAATAGTACTATTTGTGGGTGTTATAAAATGTTTTATCCCAGAGTTTTGGGGTGTTTGGTTACGAGGTTATTGTGTGTGTAGTTCACAAAATTTTATAAGTCCTCAGATGTAACACCTACATACATCATGCATCTTTGTTGTGTTCGTACTTAAAATAGTCTGTATTAATCCTAAATGTTTTGGCTTTCAGGGATCCTTGGGGCAAACAATTGAATGCCCCACTAATTTGCATGTTTTACTTGTTCCCATCACTGTTTTGTTTATGTATGTACATCCTTTTTTATCTTTTCCTAGTTATTGCTTTACATAGCGTGGAATTGTTTCTTTTGTTGCATGATCCCTGTTTCCTATTGGTTTCTTTTGTATCTTTTTGGTTTGCCAGACCTCATAAGCCCAAGTTGCATCAGGTAACTAATTCATAAATGTGTAGTCACTTTTGTACAATTTTTTCAGAACATTTTGCCAGCAATATAAGTGATTCCATCCACATATAATAATTATAATATTAATAATAAATGACGGACAAATAAGTGAAACAACCAGTTATGTGCCTTCATTTATATTTATGTGTGTGTGTGTGACTCTTTGCTTGCTTGTCTGAAATAAGATCTATAGAATGCAAGTAAATTCTGTCCGTAATGGCCTTTTTCAGTCGCTAGTGATACCAGACAAATTTCAGCACATTCTTCGTGTCATGGGCACGAACATTGATGGCAAGAGGAAGGTGATGTTTGCCATGACAGCAATCAAAGGTGTTGGTCGCCGATATGCAAACATAGTGCTGAAAAAAGCAGACATTGATTTGGACAAGAGAGCTGGAGAGTGCACAGATGAGGAGGTGAGTTCCCGCGCTTTGTAGCCTGCGGTACTGACCAAAGTAATCGTGGTCAGAAACTATTCCGACACACGTATTTAAGCTTTCTGTATTTGTGTTAAAAGAGCAGGGTAAGTTTCGGGGAAGCTTGTACTTCGGTTGTATGAACACTTTCAGAACTTGTTCAATTATGGAAGTAAGTGCTGATTATTCAGAAAATCATACACTGATGATAAATTCACCGTGTGTGTAAAAATGAAGAATTATTGGCTGTTAAAGCATGCAATACATTTACCACTTGGCTATGAAGGGTTAGGGCTTCCCATCGCTGCAAAGAAAAAAATTCAGAGATGTTTTGTGTACTTTTGCATCACTGTCTTACTACATGACAGTACTTGATGAGCTGATTATGGTGATGTGAGATTTTCCTGCCGTATTTTGTTCCGGTGTCTGTTGTCACAGCCTAGTTGATTTCCTTTTGCAGGTTGAGAAGATTGTAACAATCATGTCAAATCCTCGTCAATACAAGATTCCAGATTGGTTCCTTAACAGACAGAAGGACATTGTGGATGGAAAATACTCCCAGGTATTCAATGTTTTTTTTATATTGTCATTTTGGTGAATATTTTTTTATTTTATAACCAATTAAACTATAGAATTTACAAAAATTACTGGTTTGTTGTCAGCAACTATCACTTGTGAAGTTTTTATGTGCGAAGATGACCGTTGGTGCCGAAGACTACGAGGTCATGTCTTGTATTCATTCGTCAAGTTATACCTTGTCTGTTTGTCATTGCATTCGCACCTCAGTATCTGGATAATGGTAACGCTTCAGTTGGCGACAGTTTGCACAGTAAACGGCTCTCGTACCGTCAACGTGCGAGCAGCTGGTAGCCTGTGCTACATTAATTGCATTCAGATTATGGAACTTCTGTCTCTGATAGAGAGTTTATGATTTGTGTGCTACATTTTGCTTTGCGAATTGATTACGGTGATATTTTGGTTTGGTATATTTGTGCCCGTAACACGCCGACGTTGTTCCCAGCTCACGTCCAGTTACTTGGATAGCAAACTCCGTGAAGACCTGGAGAGACTGAAGAAGATACGCGCTCACCGTGGTATGAGGCATTATTGGGGGTGAGTCACTAGACGTCCCAGGATTTTAGCGTATTTCGTATTGGTTTTTACTTATCTTGAGATTGATATTCATTAAAGGAAATGCATGTTGATAGACGTAGATGAATCCAAGAATATAAAAATTCTAGTAACTTTTTCATTCGCTCTGCATGGATGATTGTGGGGATTTGTCTGTCATGACAGTTCTTGTTGTGTTATAGCCTGCGAGTCCGTGGACAACACACGAAGACGACAGGAAGACGTGGAAGAACTGTTGGTGTATCCAAGAAGAAATAAAAATTCATGTTCAATAAATTATTGAAAAAGTGCGTTTAGCTTGTTTATTTCACTTAATTTTTTGACCACTACATCAAGGTTATTGTGGTTGAGCTCATACGTCATTATGTCCCTGCCTAGCGTGTGCAAAATTGTAATTTTGCCGTTTTCTCACTGCTTATGTATCGCAACAAATGGATTGTACATGTTTCGTAATCAGGGCGATGGTGGTGGAGGAAAGTGCCTCTGAAATGTCTGAAAACTTTTACCAGACGACATGGCGCAACATCCCAGAAGACAGTCAGTTATCTTCATCCTTGGTGCCATGAGAACCTGAAATCTCACAAATTTTTGAGTCGTTTAAAAGCAGGAAATTTATAGAAGTTAGTCGAAAGACTACCAGCTGCTCAAAGATTCTGCCTCGTGGCATTTTGTTGTTTGGTAGGTGTGACATATTGTTCCTTGGTCCAGTGATTTATGAATCCTATGCTCGTGTACCTTAGTCCGTGATAATATTAAACTTTTAATCCTCGTAACATAGCACAGTGTAGTGAAATTAAATAGTCCTCGTACAAAGATTTAATTTAAATACCCGGAAGATGCTAGAGTGCTTGCGTCACACAAGAATGTGTTGACCCTTCAAAGCCAAACCTGAAACATTCTGCCTCAAGGAAAGCGACACGACTCTAAGACAGCGATTAACTACTTATTGCTGTTTTAAGTCGAGGAAATAGTCGCTGTTTACGTTGAGAAACGCGAAGCTCGTATATACAGAGTATGCCGAGTTGTTGATTGTTAAAGCAGGTGGTACATATACTTACCACTGGGCTTCAAAGCATTAAATGGAATGGGCTTGAGCTTCGTTGCATGCTACACTTAATGTACTAAAACAGTAATGTCTAAAGTTTGATGTAGTTTATAACAAATCTGTATTGAGGTATTGCCCCAGTCTGGAGCTATCGAGAAAAACCACAAGAGCGCTTAGCACGGCTGTGCCAAGTTTCATATGGTACATCTTATGAAATAAGACATACTCTCAAAGTCCTTTCCGTAAATTGTTCGTTTCCGTAAGCCTGTTTACAGTAAATACATTTAATCAAAACACATTTGTGTTTCCTGTGTTCTGTTTATTTCGTTGATTGCTCACCGAATTCATGAGAAGTTTTGGCACTTGTAACGTGTACGTGCCATTTTTTTAGACCCGATCACCTGTTCCAGCTGTCCCAAATTATAGTGCACCGTTAAAATATGCTGATAAGTGCTTTAAGCAACCAGTGCTGATGCTTTGACCCGAGTTTGAACACCAACCCAAGCAGGTTAAATGCCCATGAGACCTAAAGTAATGTGTGTAGAGCCGATGGAGCGCCAGTAAGTGATATCCTAAAACAGAGGTCGCAATATTACCATTATTACCAGTGGGAATAATGGCACGTCTGTGCGCGACTTTTCACCGCTTCGCACTGTCTTCCCGGGCCCTACGTATGGCTCGAGGTTTGTTTTGTTGTAGTTTTGAAAGTACCAGTCCATAGAAGAGTTTACAGTGGTGCCGGGCGAAAGCGGAGAATGGGACTTGGTGGTACTTGGTTCAGTTCGTCTCAGGTATTCTTCTGTCGGTGGTGGAGGTGACGTTGAGGATGACACTTTAGTGATGGTCGGACGTCCTCCTGGTCCACGGAACTGAGGTTGATGACCCCCGGGAATCAGTAGCGCAGACAGTGACGAGGGTGAGTCTTGGTTCCCTGATATCATTCCCCACAAGTCGCCAAGTAGCATTGGGTTTGACGTCTGCGTTGACTGTTGGGTCTCTGTAATGTTTGGTATAGCACAGTTACTTGTAAAAGATTTGATTTTGTCATCCTAAAGACAAAGTGTGTACTCCAGTGTGGAGTACACAGAATTTTGAAGTACTGCAGTTCTGTATCTTTATTTGTCTTATTAATTCAGTGCAAATGTATTTTTGTGGTCAGGCAACTCGGAATAAGTATCGACTCTGAACACGACTGCCAAAAACTGTAATGTCGACTGAAGAAAATTCAGATCAGCGTGATGAAAAATACGAATTGAGCGATATAACAAATTTTTTTTTCAGCGAATGGATTAATCATTTTGTGTAAAATTTTGTATAGTCCTCGAGCAACGACTTGCATTGTGACTATTTGTTTTTAGTTTCTTGGAATTGCGTGCTGTAAAAACGTTTGTAGATTACATAGTAATTTAGCCACATTATTTTCTGAGCATTCCGGTTAAGGGTTAAACTAATTTACAATTTGCTGTAATTCACACCATCTTAATTAATTCCAGAAAAGTGTGAAGAAAGTGATCATCGTGTCTTGAGATTCTGGTATGCGCAAGCATGAAAGACAAAATAGTTTCATACAACTTACTTAACCCTTAATTTTGAAGGATTTTCTGCTACAGATGAAACCATAAGAGCACGGTCAACCATTGCAACATCGGTATAAATAATTATACTGTGCAATAAAAATATTGTGTATTCTTATTAATCAACTTCAGATGCAGTGAATTTTAAGAAAGAACCTGAAATTGGTATTGACATCAGATTAAGAAGGACGTGGGCCTAGGGGTGAATTTTTTAAAATGTAATTTGTGGAAATTTTTAATCGAAAAGGGGTTTCATATCAAAATGGATAAGAAGTATATTTTTGGCTAATGTGAAATGATGGTGTGTGTGTGAAAAAATTGTTCTGGGAGAGAAAATTCTTGATTTTGAACCAGTTCTCATAATTGTTCTATATTCTCATGTCAAACTGAAAAAATCGTCCTCACCTTCTATAGTACGGGTTTCATTTTCAGGAGGGGATGGTGTCTGAAGCCAGTCAATAAATCCCCACCCTTCTCCATCACTTTCTTCATGACTTGTGTTCCTTTGTCCTTTGTGTTGTTGAAAATGAGATAAAAAAATTGTGTTCTCTTCTGTTGGCTTCGTTGCTGCTTCAATATCCAAATAATTTATCAAAGAAAATGGCGTACTTATGGCTAGAGCATGGTCTACTACATTTTCTTGAATGTCTGTCGAGTGGGAGTCATTTTGAAGAACAGATTTCTCTTTGTCTTGCCAGCTCTGGGCTGTCTGTATGTGACTGATATTCACTGAAGTGTCGTTAGTAAGCCGTAGTTCGTTGGCTTGGTCGACTGTTGATGGCGTAACTTGCGAGTTCAAGACGGGGAACGGCACGTGAGACGAGTGCGTGCGGGGATCGTCTGGTTTGGTCTTCCGTCCGTGGCTTGAAAGATCGCCGTTCCCCAATTTCGACCAGGTTGTGTAGTTGACTTGGACCTGATGCTCGGCGTCAAGATGGGCGCCATGTGATTGGTTGATGCTGTTCTGTCTGATGTTGGGGTCAGCAATGGGAACGAAACCACCTGAGCCTGGTAGCATTGGCACGAAGCCTCCAGACTGGACTGGCGGAGGTAACATTTGTACTTTGCCTCGTGCACCGACGAACCGCATTCCTCCATTACTGGATTTTGCATCTGCATTTCTTCCAGATCCCCACAGCGTTCCAAGACTTAGACTGGGGAGGGGTATACCGAAGAAGGTGAAGCCGCTCGAAGCCTGAGGTGGAGTGGGGGCTTGCTGTTTCACGCCGTTTGCTCCCGACATCGTCTTGTTCTTTTCGTGGCGACTTCCAGCGTAGAAGGTGGGTGTGTCTCCAGCAATATAATGAGATGATACTCCTGTGTTCAAGGCTGAGACGGGGTCTGAACTAGAAGGTTCCACTATGAGGGGTATGTCCGTGGTCAGCATCACTGTGCTGTGGTTCTTGCTTGCAGTTGAGTTTCCTTCTTCATATTGGTACTCCACATATTCATCATAGAAGTACTCTGATTCCTCTGGTGAGGGTGCTGCAGTGCTGTCTTTCACTTCCATCCACGTTGAGAGCAGCTGAGAAGTGCCTGTAATATTACAATGTCGATTACTAAACACTAATTGTCTGGAAATGGAAGCAGTGCGAGCCGAGAGGCGACTAAAGTTTGAAGACTTTTCGCTACAATATGCTGAGGTATGAGATCTCTTCAAACTGGTCGTATTATTTTCAAACGACAAGGGAGATTCATATTGGAAAAGAGTAGTGTATCCGTTGGCTGTGAATTGGCGCTAAAAATCCTGCCTGCAGGCAGAATGTTTTAACAAAACTGCCTAATATGATAGAGGTAAGATGGTTTATTGACACTGATCATAATTCCGGATTAAGTTTGAAGTACGTATTTATATTTCAATTCATAATTTGGCAGACTTATGTCAGGAGAGTCCAAAAGGTCATACAGTGCCACCTGGTGTTACATGACGCAGTAAATTCGCAGCCTGTCCTATCTGCTGCAACATCGTAATGCAGTGGTTACCTACCATATGACACTTTGTATCTTATATAGTTGATAACGCTTAATTAAATAAACGAAGAAACATGCTGATGATCTGGTGACACTATCTCTGGTAGTGTTTACCTGAAGGTGATGATTCACATCCAACTGTAGGAGCGTCTATGTTTCTGCAGTCTTGCCGGGAGAGACGTGCCTCTTTCAGCAGAGAACCATCAGCGCAGTGTGGACCCTCTTCTGAGGACGCCTCTTTAAGCCACGCCTGAAGCCACATCATACCACAAGAGCAGGCTAACGGGTTTCCATCAATGTCCAGCACTGCAATATTGCTGCGTAGGCGTTGGAATGCTGGTTCGGCCAAGGAGGTCATCCTATTGTTTTTCAGACTGAGAACACGAAGACGCGGCATCCCGTTGAAAGGGGATCCTTGAATTGTGCATATGTTGTTGTTATCCATCTGCAATGTGACCGATGGTTTGCTGATGAGCGATACCAGATTTAATTTATTAAATAATAAAATAATTAGTTTTTCAACATTAATTTGATATTTATCAATTAGGAATAGCCGATTTGTGGTTGCAGGCTGGACATCATGTCTGACCCTGCTTAAGCTGTGACATGGCTGATAAATGTTCAACCACGAATTACGTCTCCCAGATATTTACTTACCTTGAGCTCTACCAGCCACTCCATGCCTTCCAAACTGCCACTCCCCACTCTGGCCACTTGGTTGTGACTGACATCCAGTACTTCCAGGGACTTCAGTCCCTTCAGTCCAGCATGGTTCAGTCCAGTCAGTTGGTTATAGCTGAGGTTTAGAAGCAGCAGTTGGGGCACGACACTGAACGCGTCGCTCGCTAACTTTGTCAGTTGGTTTTCTTGCAGTTCGGCACTCTGGAGTTGAGGCAGGTCAGTGAAGGCAGCGCTGGGGACGGTGACGAGTCTGTTGCGTCCGAGGCGGACCGCTTTCAGCTGCGGCAGAGACCTGACCGCGTTTGTTTCCATGGTTACGAGTTCATTGCTGTCCAAATCCAGGAGTTCTAGGTCTGGTAGACCGCGGAATGCATCCACCTGCAGTTGTTGCAATTTGTTCCTGGCAAGCCTAAGCTCAGAAAGTGATTTCATGCCTCCGAGGGCAGAGGGATTCAGTGTCTTGAGGCGGTTGTTGGCAAGGTCCAGCAGCTGCAGGGTGGACAGACCTTGCAGTGCTTCAGGAAGTTCAGTCAGAGCATTGTGGGATGCATCCAGCTCCTGTAGTTCCCTACAACATTACGTACAATACCTATTAAAATGTGTTACGTAGACCTAAAAGGTCTTTTGGAGTATTGTCAGAACTCTTAACGTGTATTGGCATGTGTGCAGTCTGGCTAGCCGTGAATCATGGTAGTATACTGCTAAACCATTAAACGCTGGTCCATAACATGATTTCTTAAATGTTGCCGAGGTAATTTTTGCTGGTCTCTGTATGTGGTAAGTATGAGCTAAGTTGTACCTGTTGCTGGACAATGCATTTGGTTCAATGCTGTTCAGTTGGTTATGGCTGAGGTCTAGGTGTGTCAGGCGAACGTTGTCCTGCAGGTGCCGGTTCCCTAGCTGCTCCAGACGGTTTCCGTGCAAATTCAGTTGTTTGAGTCGTTGAACGTCTCTTAAACATCTGTCGTTTATGCTCAGTAGGCGATTTTCATGTAGGTCCAGTACTTCCAAGCTGGCCAGCCCACTCAGCGATCCTTCCTCGAGTGTCTGAAGAGCATTCTCCCCCAGATGCAACCACCGCAACTGGACCAAAGCACTCATAGATCCAGGGACAATATGCTGGATGCCATTTCCGGTGAGATCTAAGAGCCGCAGCGCAGGCAAGGCAAGTCTTGGAGTGAGAGGTAGGGCCGTCAGTTGATTTCTGGGCGCGTACAGGTATTCCAAACCGCGTGGCAGTGCCATGTTGAGGTCCCGCAGTCTGTTCAAACCCACGTCTAATTCATACAGGCCTAGCAGGTCCCGGAAAGTAGCCGGATGGATACTTGAGAGTGCGTTCCTTGACAGGTTCACATGTTCCAGAGCGTGGGTGGTAAGGAATGCATCGGGGGCCACCACTTCTAGAGCATTGCCGCTCATATCGAGTCGTCGCAGTGAAGGAAGGTTTGCAAGCAAGCGAGGGTCTAGCCGCCGGAAGTAGTTGTATGCTAGATCCAGTCCCTGCCACAGTGCCATAAAATTACAGTTTAAAGTAGACAGTCATGGGACAATTAGATTATGACATTCAGGATGCTAGATCATTCCTACCTTCAGGTGAAAAAAGCACTTAATTTAGGTGAGCCTGGAGTATTCTGACATGACAGGTATAGGCTCATGTGACATCTTTTTATTCAACTTGTTGACACGCGTTCATTCAGAAATTGCTGTTCAAACATCAACAGACTTTCTGTACCACAGTTCTCAAAAAGAAATTTCCTACCTTGTATGGAACCCAAGTGATCATTGTCATGTCCACAACCACCTGTGTCCAGTCTGCTCCCTCCAACCTTGTTTTTCTAAGCTTAATTTTAATATTATCCTCCATCTACATCTAGGTTTTCTAAGTGTTCTCTTCCTTTCAGGATTTCCATACAAAACATATGCATCTCTCATCCATCTCTACATTCCCCACCCATGTCATCTTCCTTAATTTGATCATCCTAATTATATTTTCTAAACAGTAAAAATTACGGAGCTTATCATCATAAGACATTTTCCACTTCATTTTTCTCAGGTCCAGATTTTCTGGTCACTGCCCCAGCGTTCTCAAGCAATGTCAGCCAGCGTTTGTCCCCTAACGTGAGCTTCACTGAAAAATAATTTGTCTTGAAATCTTAACGGAACACAATTCAAGAGTAACCTGATCTGTTGGCACATCCACAAATGTTGTGCCGTGACTGTGCACTGCATTATCTTTACTGCTGAGTAACTACACCCCTTCCTACCCTAGCTACATACCCAGCCCATCGTAGCTTCTATGCTTCCATTGCCTTAACAAATCCTGGTGTACCTTGAGGGCGGGTAGGTTCCAGAACGGGCCGTCAGAGGAACTAGAGAGGGAGTTATTTCGCAGGCGCAGTTCGCGTAGGGCCGGCATGGCTGAGAAGGCTTCTCGCTGGATATGCTGTACCCTGTTGTGGTCCAGATGCAGCCTCTCCAGGGTGGGGTGCCCTCGCAGTGCCCCAAATGGCACTTCCTGGATGTAGTTGTGGCTGAGGTCCAGATAGCGCAATCGAGGGAGAGCATCCAGCAAGGTTCGAACCTCGGCCACGTGGTCAATCACGTTTGAAGTGAGCCACAGCTCTTCCAGGGTTCCTGACTGCTGACGAAATGATTCCGGGTGTATCCGCCGGACGTGGTTGCTACTCAGGTCAAGCCTGCGGAGGGCCGGCAGCCGGTCGAAAGCTCCACGCTGCAGCTCTGCTATTCTGTTGCCTGCCAGGGTCAGCTCTTGCAGAGACGGCAGGTCCACGAAGGACGCCTCGCCCAGGGCGTCAAACTGATTGTCGTCCAACCGCACGACTGCGAGGGCCGACAGCTCGCGGGCCGCGCGTCCCACCATGCCCGCGTCAGTCAGCCGGTTGCCCACAAAAGAGAGTTCCTTCAGGGCGGGAAGGGCAGACAGGGCCCGGGGGTGCACCCAAGCGAGCCCGCAGTGAGACACGTTGAGTGTGTGGAGTCTGGGAAGGTCTTGCAGGAAGCCGCCCTCCAGTCGAGTGAGGTACGGGCTAAATGTGACGTGCAATTGTTCAAGGTCACCCAGCGCTTTGAACCCGTGAGGAGATAGTTCTATCAGGGCGGGCGACTCAATGTGTACGTAGCGCAGGCGAGGAATACCAGAGAAACGCGGTAACCGTTTGATGGCCCCACCCTGCAGGGTGATGGCTTCGAGACCGCGAAGCTGCTCCAGGCTGTCGGCGGGAAGGCTCCGCAGACGCGGCTCCACCACGAACACCTCGAGCAACGTGTCCTCCAGGCCAGCCAACCAACTGGCCGCGACCCGTTCCAGCCCGTTGTCCCGCAGCATTAGGCGAACCACGCGGAGGGCAGAGAAGGTGTTGCCGGGCAACGAGGGCAGGTGGTTGTTCTCTAAGATCAGCTCGTCGACGGGCCTCGTCACGTGCGTTCCCACAGCCTGGAGACCTAGCAGCACGCGGGTAAGGTCGCTGTGGCTGCACCTGGCACAGGACGTGGCATTTTATCACGCGACGTAAGGTAAGAAATTGTCTGTGCGACAAACTGCACGGCAGTTTCTGTAATTACCAGATCTGCAACTGGTCCGAACGCATGTTACAGCGGCACGGCAAGATATCGGCTTCGGTGGGACAGGCGTCGTGTTCGTCTGTCGAGGTGACCGACGTAGCCACCATAGCCACAAGCAGGAACCAGGGACGCCACATGTTTCACGTCATCCTACAGCTTCTGCAACACGCAAAGCATTAGTACTGAGTGTGACAGCGGTAAGACGCTTAAGCCGTTTCTAGTTTCTTGGTCGCTAATTCTAAGACACTTTCAGCTACGAGGGAATACAGCGTCAGTTGTGCCAGGTTGATTGTGAGCGACGATACAGAATGGATCGGTCTAGAAATATATATTTTTTGCATCTCGAAATTTGTTCGTATGACGAGTTACTAAGCCTTAAAGTCGTGTGGTTCTTGGAGGAAACTCCACTCATTAATCTCGACAGTGAATGGACCGCCAAATCCTGCCACTACCTGGAAGCATACCCTATTCGTGAGATCAGCAAAAATCTCGTTGCCTTATCTTGAAGTTGTTCGCGCTGACGTGGAATATTGTCGGAGCGAGTGGTCTGTGACCAGGTTGCCACCTAGTACCGATCAATCGCCTATTTTAATGCGAATTTTTACGTTTTTCCGTTGCGTCATTGGCGCGATCCTATCGGAGGAAGTTGTATAACACGCTTATTGTATTTTCAAGGTGTTTTCATCGGGGGAAAGCGAAGCCTTCGTTGTCCGTGCTTCCGGCCCCAGTTTCTTTTTTGTTTCTTAGTCGTAGTTCTTGTTCTTATTGACATTTTCGATCTGTGACTTCTGACATTTTATGACGACTTCTCCTGCTGTACGCCCGGATTCAGGTTCTTAACCCTTTGAAGCCGAAGCAAAGAGAGAGAGAGAGAAGAGAGAAAGTGGGGGGAGTAGCGATAGGCACTACTGTTATAAATGGGGGAGGGGTATAAAGTTGGTTGTGGTAGTTTTAATATGTTAAAAGAATTCAGTCCGTACCGCGAAGAAAACACTACAGTTCACCATTACAAAAGATCAACTGGTTAACGCTGTTTAAGCTTTGATTAACTTCGAGTCCTGTACAGAGAGCGAGAGATAAGGATAGCAAAAGAGTAGAATTTGCAAAGAGGAAATTGGTGGGGGGAGAAGTGAGAGACACTTCGATTTAGGGGGGGGGGGGGCATCTTATAGTTATAAGGTCCATAGGCAATGATTTGGTACAGAAACGACGGAATTTTGAATTGTGTATTAGAAAATGCTGAGACTATTAATTTGGAAGTTTAGTACATAATTTAGACGTTTCTACTGACCGGGGAGGGGGGGGGGGAAATTTTGATTGATTTAAATCGGTAGGGCTGCATGAGAAGCTTGCAGTGGCAACTTGGAACTTGGGGAACCATCTCATCGTTTGCTTGAAGACAGAGGAAAACCTGCCTGTACACAGCTGAAGTTCGTCTAGTGGTTAAGAATTCAGTCCGTACCGCAAAGAAAACACAAGTCTTCGCCGTTACAAAACATCGACTGGTTGAAGATGTTTAAAGAAATAACCGCTGTTTACATTTAGAATTATACAGAATGTAGGAATGTAGGAATGTGTAGCAGGAGATGGCTTCTTCTGTGTTGTTGTTCCGTGTAGCCTGGTAGAAATTTACGACGTTTCAGAGGTTCTTGCTTCCTTCATCATCAGGGCGATGAGTAATTCGAGAGCGAGGAGTTGGTTTCGGATATACGTATATATAAATCGTTGGTAAATTCTTCCAGGCTACACGGCGGAATTTCCCACGAGACAGTAATCTTTTTCCAAACAAATGACGGAAGTACCGCGACTTCATTTGTCTTTGGATAGGAAAGTTGTCGAAAAAGAGGAATACGGTACTTGTCACTTTAAAGTCGAGTGGTAACTATATATATCACCTTTAAAATTTAGTTATTCTGAATTTTGATCGCAGAGTATTTATGAGTTTCGTCAGATTCTGCAATTACTTCCTTGAACAGCGTTAACCAGTTGATGGTTGCCATGGAGACACGAGCGAACGAATTATGTTCAGACGGGCTTCGGCGGGTTAATGATACCGGGATAGTCCACGAGTTAAAGTCATTGAAGAAAGAAAGTTCTCGAAAAACGGTACTGCTTTCATTTAGGTGATTCTTTTTCCACGGTCGACGGCAGACGAGTAATTTCGTTTCGGCCCAGAAAATGGGAAAATATGACTGTGGCGAGCTTCGAATCCTCTCTTCGAGTGTGCAGGCGACCTTACAGTATTTGGCGAGTGTTGAGATGACTGTACCGACGTTTCCTGCCTGTTACTCGTCTCCCTGAAAATGGAGGCAGTACGTTAACCAAACTACGTAGCGTCATAACCCAGAAAATCGTCGTGCGCATATATGATCAGTTGTTTTTTAGGAGTTCATTATCTGACAACGGTTTGGTTTGTCCGTCGTGTGAGTGGTATTTGAATCTTAGCAGGGGCGTTGAGAATTTTTCTCCAGAACTCGCTTTTGGCAAGGTACGAAGCCTGTTGTTCTGTTTCTTTCGAACTTCCACGAAGTTAGTCGATAAATTTCTCGCTCTTTACGGAACCCCGAATGTTTATTATCGCGTTCACAAGAATCTGCAACTGGTCCATATCCTGTGCCAGATGAATCCAGTCCTAACCTTTGCACGTCTCAGGCGGTTAGACACTGGCTTCTCGTCGGTCGGTTTGTTTTTAAAAGCACGTGATGTTATTCCTGCAACCCGAAATTTTATCTGAAACACCCTGTACACGGAGTAATTAAGATCTGTTCCAATAATTTCGTGTCTCACTTCGAGTAAAAAATGTTACAGGGTATATAACATGAATTTGAGTCCTCTCCTGTTTTAAGTTTAACAATTTGTCCACTTAATGGAATCAAAAACGTTGATTTTAATAACAGAGCAATAAACATAATCTTGGATCACCCTGTATGTATGTTCTCGGTCACACATGCACACGCACTGTCACGCTGTAGAGTCGGCTGATGACGATAGAAAGTTGAATATTATCTCTTGCAGATTTTTTAAATTCCGACAAATAGGCTGTGCTTCGTTACCATGGTAACGAAGGTGCAGGGACAGACTCCATTCAGCAAAAGAAGAACAAGTTATGTCGATTTCTTTTGCGTAATTAGACATCCCTGAAGATGGCAGAATTCGGCTGTCACGTGTAGTATGATGCGATTATTTTATTGAAATAAGTTTTTATCAGATGGTTTTAATTTTGTTTGGCTTACAAGTGTAACCGTTCTGAAGGCGGTAAAGCTGATTCCGCCAACAGAACGTTGGTAACGGTAGAGGCGTGTACAAGTGTTTTGACCTGAAGACGCGGTCCGTTCGATGCTCACCAGCCCGCAGATAATAACACTTAACAGCCAATGTTCTGTGTACGTCGCTTTTTGAAAGTCTTCCCCTATGATCTATGACTTACGAACACCTGAAGCATATATCATATAAATAACATTTAAGAATTCAGTCCGTACCGCGAAGAAAACAACTCTTCACCATTACCTAGATCAGCTGGTTAACGCTGTTTAAGCTCTGATGTTCCTCGAGTCCTGTCAAGTGGTTAAGAATTCAGTCCGTACCGCGAAGAAAACACAACTCTTCACCATTACCTAGATCAGCTGGTTAACGCTGTTTAAGCTCTGATTTTCCTCGAGTCCTGTCCAGTGGTTAAGAATTCAGTCCGTACCGTGAAGAAAACACAACTCTTCACCATTACCTAGATCAGCTGGTTAACGCTGTTTAAGCTCTGATTTTTCTCGAGTCCTGTCAAGTGGTTAAGAATTCAGTCCGTACCGCGAAGAAAACACCACACTTCTCCATTACAAGGATGAACTGGTTAACGCTGTTTAAGGAATTGATCGCTGTTTGCACTGAGAATCATTTCGAAACACGTACTTACATTGTGTTGTTAATGCAGAATTGTGTCTCCGAGTCTGATGGTAACGTTACTTCTGACATACGCGGAACACGCCGTTCCGCTCTGCGCCGTTAACAGCTGTCGCACGAACTCAGCTGAAGATGTCATCGTAACATTGGTTGGTTCCTTGATAATTTACTGTCAAGGGATTTTGGGCCTTACGTGTTTTTATTACTTTAGATTTTTCCATCATTATTGACAGGCAATTTTCTAGTATGAAAATATTACGCTTAAATGTCACAGGTCCACATCATTGTTTGCTAAAAAAATTTGGACCTTTTAAGGTCAAATTTGAACCTTTTTTTTATGAATAATTCAGACGTTTCAGAAGTAACCAGATCAAACATGATCTAAGCTTTTGTTTAGTCTTGATATTTATCTCCTGCGTTTGTCTGCACGGGATGAAAATAATGAAAATTTACGTGTTAAATCTTTTTATGCATTGTTGAATATCGAAGTAAAAAATTGTTTTTGAAACTGACAATGCCTCGACGACACTTACTTGCTTACACGGGCGATTTTGCAGAGTGCCTACCTGTCGGCTGTGGATTCCAGAGTCTTGTACGTGTTGTGATGTCTTGTTCACTTGGATTTAAGTCTCGTTCTGGCGGTGGACTGAGCGTTTCTGGCGGATGGACGGTTCACACTTGCTGAACCAGCAGTCAAACACCGTGGCGCGTAACCTACTTAAACAACAATACCTTAGCAACGAAAGTGGTTCTTTTACACTGTTGCTGTAAAGAAAGCTGGGAAAGCGAAAATCTAATATCTTTCTTTTGAACTGTCACATTTCTATCCCCAAATTGTATTATTGTTCTCCGCTCAGCGGTGGTTGACAGATTGGTGACTGCTTCGCGTTGTTATTTCCTGACAATGAACGATGAGATATTTTGTCCTGGCTTCCTGGAGACAATACCGAATTCCAGTTTAATTGTTGAAGGCAACGTTAAAGCAGCAAGAATCATAACTTTTACTAGTCGCAAATTATATCGACGAGGAATTTTCAGTCGGAAATTAAAGTCTCAAATCTTTAATTTAATATGAATTGGTTCCATAAAACAAGGATTTTTTGGCATTATGAGTAAGTAATTCTAAGATTTTTTATTTTAAAAAAAAATTACTGCACGAAAAAGTTAGTCATTCAGACAAATAATTACTTATTTAACTTCGTATATTCAATGGTAATTATACGTACCAGTTGCGTTAACATTCTGTACCTCTGCATTTTGTCTAGAGAGTATATTTAT